ATGGCACCGCGAACCCGGCGAGACTCGGGCCGCAGCAGCCGGTTCCAGGAGGCGCCCCGGGCGGAGCGGAGGGGCCGGCGCCGCTGGGGCCCGCGCAGGTGGTCACCGCGGGCCTCCTGACCGTGCTGGTCATCTGGACCCTGCTGGGCAACTTGCTGGTCTGCGCGGCCATTGTGCGCAGCCGCCACCTGCGCGCCAAGATGACCAACGTTTTCATCGTGTCCCTGGCCGTGTCCGACCTCTGCGTGGCGGTGCTGGTGATGCCCTGGAAGGCCGCCGCCGCGGTGGCCGGCTACTGGCCCTTCGGGGCCTTCTGCGACGTCTGGGTGGCCTTCGACATCATGTGCTCCACCGCCTCCATCCTGAACCTGTGCGTCATCAGCGTGGACCGCTACTGGGCCATCTCCAGGCCCTTCCGCTACCAGCGAGCCATGACCCAGCGCGTGGCCTTGGTCATGGTCGGCGTGGCCTGGGCGCTGTCCATCCTCATCTCCTTCATCCCAGTGCAGCTCCACTGGCACAGGGACGAGGCAGGCTCCCGGGACGCGCTGGACCCGCCGCCCAACCCGGCCAACGGGACGCCCTGGGGGGAAGCGGGGGAGCCCGAGGTGCGGGAGGACAACTGTGACTCCAGCCTGAACCGAACCTACGCCATCTCCTCCTCGCTCATCAGCTTCTACATCCCCGTGGCCATCATGATCGGGACCTACACGCGCATCTACCGCATCGCGCAGGGGCAGATCCGCAGGATCTCCTCCCTGGAGAGNATGCCTTCGGAAAAAGGAGGGTCAATGAGTTTAAATAGAAGAATATTTGCCGAGCGGCTTAGGAAAACCCCGTGTGCTGAAACGGTCTAAGAAAATCCTCTTAGTACAGCTCTGCAGGCGTGGGAGAGGGTGGCTTCCTCGCTGCTGCCCTCTGAAGACGGGGCTCCGGGGGATCAGATAAGAGATAAGGGGTTTATTAGCCGTCTAGTTGGCGAGTCCTTGCCAGCAAGGCTGGGCTCGGAGGTTGGCTGAAGACACTCCTTGGTTTTCAGGTGTTTACTCTGCCCAGCTCTTTTGAAAAACATGGCAAAGAGCCTGGATGAGAAAGGGAAGCCACCATTTCCACTGAGCCAGTGTCCCCACCAGGCACCCTGCTCCAGGAGCCCTCCCGGGAACAAGGGACAGACACATGGGGCAGCTGCCTGGCTGCGTGCTGTTCCTTTGCGTGCATAAGGCCTTATCGATAGAGAGAAAACTTTGGATAACAGAGGAAAATCTTAAGAGTTCAGAATCTGTCCTTTCACACATGAAGCTTCATGCCTCTGAGCCTTTGCACATGCTGTTCCCTCGGCCAGGAATGTCCCCACCCCGGAAGGCTTTACCCCACAGCTCCAGTGTCCTCTCTTCCGAGTAGCTCTGCCTCCTGCTGCCCACCAGATGGCCAGTCCCCCACCCCACGTTGTTCTCACGCCACTACCTGACGAACGCACCTCCTTTATTTTCTGTGGTAGGAATGGCATCTTCAGTTGCAGGTGACAACTGAAATTCAGCTCAGACACGTGTTAGCAAAAGGGTGACTTACTGGCTTTTGTAACTGCAGAGACGGGCCCGTGACTGGAGCATGAGGCTGAGACGTCCCTTGTGCTCTGAATAAGACTCAGGTACAGCCAGAGGGAAAAGGCAGGTCAGAGCCGCTCACAGAGGAGCTACTTTGGTCCCATCACACTTGCCTTTTAAACTACTGTGATCAACACATTTTGAAAATAAGAAACTGAGGCTCAAAAATATCAAGTAACTTGTCCAAGATCCCACCGCTGGTAAATGCCTGTTCCTGCCTGCCAAGCCTCTCCTGCTCTCTGCCCTCCCTTTTGTCCACTTAACTGTGATTTCAGCCCAAAGAGGGACTTCCCCAGGGAAGCCTTCCTTAACTATCTCACTTGGGCAAGCCTGGCATAATGCTCTGTACTATTCCTTCCTAGCACCGGGCACAGTGGATGATTCCTGGGTTAAAGTCTATCCCCAACAATGGACTATAACCTCGAAGAGGGGAAGGACAATATATATTTTTTATACACTCTTGCATTCCCAGTGGGTACAACAGCATTTGGGACATAATAGGTGCTCAATAAATGTTTGCTGAGTAAAATCATATGAAACGGAAATTCGAACCCCGTCTCCAAAACCCAAGTTCTTTTCTGACCTCGTAAGTTGGTGTTCTCCAGGACAAGACGGGATGGAGGTCATCCAGAGTGAGGATGACCATATGACAGTGTGTGTGCATGCTTGTGCATGTGTGTGTGTGTGTGTGTGTGTGTGCGTGTGCAGGGCGGGTGGGTAGTGGCTTGGATCCAGGCTGTCTATGGACAAGAAGAGAAGACGCAGGAGCACCGAGCAAGGGCAAGGTGATGAAAAGACTAAGAAGACCTCACCTGACTGTCTGAGGACCGGGGATCGCAAGGAGCCCCTGAGTGCTCTCCGTAGGGGGAATGACATGGTCATAGTTATATGTGACAAGGATCGCTCTGCCTGCATTGAGTGGAGGGTGGACAGAGGATCACAGCAGAACCTGGAGTGCACTAACCCAGGACAGTGTCACCATAAAACAGGGTGGGGGAAACAGTCCGACACAGGGAACATAGTGGCGGAAAGGAGTGGTACAGCTCCTGGGAGACGGGGAGAGACAGGTGGTGAGTGTGACTCTCCAGTTTTAGGCGTAGGCACCTGGACAGATGGTCTTGCCATCTCCAGCAGCAGAGAGCAGGGCAGGGGGGGATGGTGTGAGGGGGAGGGCTGTGGAAGGTTGAGCAAGCTGAGTGTGAGAAGCTGGGACCCTTAGGTGTTGCTCGGGGGTGCAGGTGGGGCCAGGGTGAATGGGGCAGGTGGGTCTGAGTGGAGGGATGAGGGGCCTGCTCCTCTCTGGACCTCAGGGCAGATCTCAGATGGAACCTAGCAGCAGGCCGATGCCTCATCCATTTCTCTCCAGTTGCCTTCAGCTGAGCTTAGCACCAACAGAGACTGGGCGGTTCAGAGGCGGAACTCGTCAGCTGGGGAGGCGTGGTGAGGTCCTGGAACACTGCTCTTCCTTCCCAGCCTTTCCTCACTGTGTTGTATGTGTTTTTTTTCTTCAAATTTTAGGCTCTGGGCCACCATTCGAGCCTCAGTTTCCTTTTCTGTTAAGCACTGAGGTATTATTAATCCATCCCTCTCAAGACTAAAAAAGAGGAAGACTGACAGTGCCCTGCAGAGAGGGGGCTCCCAACTTCTGGGGCTCCCTTCCCCCTCCTGGTCTCCTGGGTTCTCGGAAGTTATTCCCCAAAGGACCAATGGCTCCAGGATTAGGGGTGGGGGTAGGGAAGGGGGCTCTCTCAAGAGATCAGGTGAAGCCCCCAATCTTAGAATGAGTGTGGAGGAGAGATTGGAGAAGTTCCTAGGAGACATGTCTCCTGCGCAGGTGGGGAGCAGGTGGGCCTCCCCTGGATGGGCTCACGGAAGCCTCCACCACCCGCAGGCGTCGGCATCATTACCCCACGTTGTGGATGAGACAACCAAGGCCCATGGAAGACAAGCTGCGCCTCAAGGTCACACAGCCAGGAATCAAGTACGAACTGGGACTCAGGTCTGTGAGAAATCCAAAGTCGCCCCCTTCACACTGCAAGTGCTCTTTCCCAGTCTAGAAGCCAGTGGCCCCCCC